TGGAAGAACACCAAAAAGTAATTCCATGTTCAATGATTCCCTTAACATATGAGTGTGAGTAGGATGAAACATGAATTGAGAAAGATGAGTGTGACTAGGATGAGACATGAATTGAGAAAGATGATTTACCGCATAAGCAAGATCCTGACTAATTAAGGTAAGATAATATAGAGATCCCAATAGATGACGAAATTCTGAAGGATTAGAAAGTACCATCCTGATTGGACAACTTATGCATGAGAAGCAATCAGAGTACTGCATGGATTTGAATCAGTCATACTTGTCGCTTTAGTAAGTCAAGAGTATATTTAGTTTGAGAAAGATGAAGACCATCGGAGGTAGGTTAAACCTCAATGCCTAAAAAAATAGTGAAGCAAACCAAGATCTTTAATTTCAAATTTGTGTCCCAAAAGATCCATAAAGCGTTACAAGGCCACATAATTGTTCCCAGTTAAAAATAATATCATCCACATAAAGTAATAAGATAAGAGGAGTAGTACCATGATGGAAGGTGAAGAGAGATGGATCGGCCAAGATTTGTACAAAGCCATGACGAAGTATAGAAGTACTGAACAGGTGAAACCAAGCACGAGGAGCCTATTTGAGACCATAGAGCACCTTATGCAACTTACAGACACGATGAGGTAGTTAGGATCCACAAAGCCTGGGGGTTGGACCATAAAAACATCTTCTGTTAAGTGACCATGTAAGAATGCATTTTTGACATCTAGTTGATGAATGGACCAACCATTGGTAACTGCTAAACTAAGGACAAGATGAATAATAGCTAGCTTGACAATTGGACTGAACGTCTCATCACAATTAAACACATATTGTTGATGAAAGCCATTCGCAACTAAATGAGCATTGTATCGCTCAATAGAACCTTCTGTATGACGCTTAATACGAAAAACCCATTTGCAACCAACTAAATTTTGAGAGGTATGTGACAGAATAAAAGACCACGTACCATTTTTAAGCAAGGCATTGAACTCATCTGTCATCGCAACATGTCATTTAGGTAAGCAAGATGCCTGTACAAAGCACATAGGCTTAACAAAATAAAAAACAGAGGCAGTGAAGGCATGGGGAATCAATGAATTTTTTTATTTTGAAATCACTAGTGTGAGAATGAGTGGCCGTTGGATGGACTATTAGAGGCATGGGAAGGCCGAAGGAAAGGGCTTGCTATTCAATAATGGGCTATTGATTAGTGGAACCAGCAATTGTGGCCTAATCAATATGTAGCTGCAACGAAGGGCCTGGAGCATCGAAGAAAGGAGACGAGCCAAGTGTAAGTGCACTAAGCTGAGGCGCATTAGGATGTGAACTGCTGGACTGAGGCGGAATTGGCCGGGTCACAGAGTTATCAGGAGCAGAAGATGGGCGTGGGCTGGGCTGTGGTAAAGCAAAAGTGGCTGAAGCTACTGGGTTGGACACTGCAAGTCCAAGAGTAGTGTTGAGCTCTAGGAGAATTGGCACAATGGTGGATGAGGTTGCAGAAGTAGCAGAACATTCAAATGGGAAAGTGATCATGTTAAATGTAACATGGTGAGAGATGAAAACCCGATTGGTCTTCGAGTCAAGATACCAATATCCTTTGCATTGCAAGTTGTAACCTACAAAAACACATTCTTTGGAATGAGGTTCCAATTTGTTAGTAACATAAACTCCTAAGTGCGGGTAACATGCACAACCAAACTTACGAAAGTGGACAAATTAAGGTGATGACCAAAGAGACAGAAATAGAGACTAGACCAACCAAGACTAGAATAAGGAAGAAGATTAATAATAAAGATGGTTATGAGAGCAGCTTCCCATAAAGATGACAGGGCATGAGAGGTGTTAAGGAGAAGCTGTGTGACAGTGGAGATGTGACGATGACAATGCTTGCACTTCGCAAGACCATTTTGTTCGGGGAGGTGAGGACACGAGACACGATGAACGATTCCTGTATTATGACAAAAGATTTAAAAGAAGAATTAATGTATTATGTACCACCATTAGTTTTAATGAATTTAATGGAGGAGTTAAATATATTTTTCACCATATTGCAGAGTGATTCGGGGCACACATAGGCAACATCCATGAGTAACGACTATGATCATCTGTAAATAGCACATACTAAGGGAAACTAGAAAGAGACTGAGTAGAGGACATCTAAACATTAAAGTGAATTAAATAAAATAGAAATTGAGCACTAATATTATTAGAAGTAAAAGGAAGTTTGTTTGACTTAGAAAGCGTGCATAGCTTACAAAAGGCCTTATTTAATTTATACATAGAACCTAAAGATAATTGATATAAAACTTCAAATGACGAATGTTCAAAACGGGAGTGCCATAGGGAAAGTTAGAAATAACTTTGACCAAAAGGATGAATAGTGACAGCGACCGAATTATCTTTAGTAAATTGAGAAGCAGAGAGTAGATTTTTCTTAAGGGATGGAACACGTAAGACATTATTCAACTGAAATTTATGAGAACTGAGAGTGAGAGGAAGAGAACTAGTGTGAGTAATAAGGAGAGAGACCCCATTACCCACGAGAACATAATCGTTACCATGATAAGGAAAAAGGGTCATGGAAAGCAGCTCAATTATTGGTCATATGGTGAGTGGCATCGGTGTTGAAGTACCATGTAGGATCATTAGCTGCGCCAAGTAGAAAAGCATGATAGTTGGCGAAAGGAGGAGCAGGGTGGTGCGGGCAAGCAGAGACATGATGCTTAGGAGAATTGTAGAAATTACACCAAAGCCAGAAGGGAGCACCAAGAATACCTTGTTGGGGATAAGGTTGGAAAGCTTATTGGTTTACAGACCAACCATCGTAACCACCGCAGCCACTGCCACGAAGACCACCATGGCCACGTCCCCAACTAAAACCAACCATGTGGACGTTGATTGTGGAAGGCGCGGGATTGATGCTAATGAGGGCGTGGAAAAAAGTGTTACAGTGCATAGGGCTGCTGCGGCATAGGATAAATTGGGCCTTGCTCATGAAAGGCAGTTGGAGGCTGCTACTGAAGGCCTTGATGAGGCTGCACATGATTGGGTTGTAGGGGCTGGCCCACGGGAGGAAAAGGCTGGGGCAGGGATGGCAGCAAGCATAAGAACAGTGTTGTGGTCATATTTGGCGTGTGCCCCGAAAGTCATGAGACTCAAGCGCAAATCAGGGAACTCCGGTAAAGAGGGAAAGTTAACAATAGCCGTAACAAGCATCGAAAAATCAGGACAAGACCTTTAAGGATAGAGCTCACCAAATCATTATTAGAAACAAGTTGATTAATAGCAGCAAGATAATCAGGTGAAGATAATCAGAGATGGAGCATGAGCCTTTCGTAAGTGCCAGAAGTTGAAACTGGAGATTGCGGCATTACTGGTGAAGCTTGAGAAAAATGGGTAGCAAGACAATCCCAGATGTCTTTGGCAGAGGTTTTGCCAATGGTAAGTGACAAAATAGGTCCGGCAAGGGTGGAAGTCAAATAACTGACGAACAGTTGATCAATTTGAAACCACAAAGAAAAAGCCGGATTCGGTTTAATAGGTTCCTTGTCAGCAGCAGGAAGAGTGGTGGCAGGGGCCGAAGTTGTGCCATCAACGTTGCCAAAATAAATTGTGGCTGAGAAGAAACGACTTCATCCGACTAAGCCAAAGAAGATAGTTGAAACTGGTGAGTTTCAGAAAGTGAGCAATGTTAGGATCGGAGAAAGAGGGTCCAGTGAGGGTAAAGGATGAAGAAGCTTGTAGACATGGAAAATATGTAGCAGGGAAGCACGGCAAAGGAATTAAAAGTGGGGGAATATTAACCTAGAGGGGGATGGCAATTTGGGAAGAAAGAGGAAGGAGGCTAGGATTGTACAAGGAAAAAAGGGAACCTAAAACTAGTGATACCATGTAGAATTGTAATTCCTTGATTTCATTAATAACACAATATTACAAATATATACTAGTCACTGGACTGTGTTACAAATAATCCTAAGCTCATAGGGATTTACAAGATCTAGCCCAACAGAATCCTAAACGGATTCTCCTACACTAACAGTACTCTTTTCTTTTATTATTGACATATGTTTCAATTTGACTAATTAATTGGTTGTCCTAAACAATTTCTTTGTTTACTGACAATAGTGAGGGACCAACCACAATCATCAACAAGAGCAAGGGGCCGAAGGGGGCAACAATCTTCATGAACTTAATTTAAGCTTTTTTTTTTTTTTCTTTAGGTTTGTAACTTAACTTATTTTATTTTGGAACTTTGATTTGTAACTTATTTTTTGCTTTTGCGTTTGTTGCTTAACTTATTTTATTTTTGTTACATGTATGTTGAATGTTGAATTTAAGTAGTTGGATGGCAGAATATATTAGAAATAAAGTTTGAAATTAAGTAGTTTGGCACTTTGTAGCGTCAATTTGAATCGGTGAATTGGTATTTGAAGAACAATTGGTATTTCAATTAGGGCTATGAAATTTTAAGTTAGTATGAACTAAAAGACTCAAATTTCAATTGATATGAAATTGGGCTGACAAAATTTCAAGCCAAAAACCAAAATATCTCAACTTTCAGCCCAAAATCAAAATTTTGTCCCGATCTATCCCGAAATAACGATAACATTTTGGGAATACTGAAATTTCGATTCGGGATCGGTCTTCGAATTTCATCCCAAAAATAGTCGTTTGAGATTTGGAATCCCTTTTCGGTTCGCTATCTTATACCGAACCAACCCTAATCATCTTAGCAACTTGAAAGTTGAAATATTCAAAATTCAAATCCTGTTCATTCATCATGTTTGTGCCACTGATTTCCAACCGTACACTAATTTCACTTTATTAGCCTCAAATTTTTATTAGAATTATTACTACAAACTTCAATTTGAATTAAAGTACAAATTTGATTGGTGCCGCACTATTTAGTGCACAAATTAAGTATATATCGCATCACCCTTTAGTCTGCAAATTTGGTTTTCCTATAACATTATCCTTATATATAACTTACAAGAGAGTAGTGAAGAAACAACTGATTACTTTAAAGAGAAAATTATAATCATCTTCAGGAAAAGGACAATGTACAGTTAGAGGCATACAGTTGCAATGGGACAAAGCTAATAGGTACATTTCTAATAACCTTGTTCAATATTTACATCTTTTTAAAAATAAATAGAGAATTAAGCGAGATTAGTTTCTTAAGGTCACAAGACGCAAGCATCAGCTTCTACATTAGATATGAAGGGCAGAAAGACTGGGGCAACATGTGTTAAGCTTAATCTGTAGGCTTTTCTAGAATCCATTTTTGATGAGGCGCCAGATAACATGATGTGTCCCAAACATGCTCCCTACAGCCACAGCATAGTAGCTTCCTTCTAATGACATTGCTGCTACCTGAAACTATATAAAAGAAGTTAACCGTGCAGAATTCAGAAATTCGGAAAATTAGCTTAAAGTATGTCAATATATACACTTCAAAACACGCAATTTTTTTCTTCTTTCTCTAAACTTCTTAAAGTTGAGACAAAGACACAAAAATAAAATTTGTGATAAACAACCACCAACAGCAATTTCAGAAAACGGAAAAGTTGTTGTCAAGAAGGAGAAGCTTACTGTTTTTGCGTAGCAGAGATAACAGAGCAGACCGTCTGTATGAGAGTGAGCACTAGAAGAATAACAGCTGCAATGATTTCTTTAGTTGTCCAAGGTGAGTTGAAAAAATGTTTTATCAAATATTCCATCCCTCTGTGCCTGAACATTTTGTAGTACTTGGTCAGGTCGTCACAAAGAGTGGCAAAGTAGAACTCCTCCGAGTCCATAACGACCCCATCCGCTAGGTTCTTAATCATAGTACACCCCTTACTGCTGTCACCTAGCTTATTTTCAACAATTCCGTTCTTAACAAGCAATTCCACGTCTTCTGGGGTTTTCACTAGAATGTTCAAGATGACAACATAATCGTTTATGTAATTCTCAACTTTCTGGCATAAGCTTTGTTCATAGACAAGGAGATTTGTGAGTGTAACTTCTGATTGATCACTTATTGTTATTTTTGGAATTTCCAATACCCCATCTTCGAATCTTATGTCAAATTTATTTCTACTAGATCCCACCTTAAACTTGACTCCGGCGCGGTACAATTGTGTCATGCTGGGTGTGAGTGTGAGTAGAGTTTCGAGTGGCCCTTGAGCTTGTTGTACATCCACTACAAATGATGATGACCTCATGCTAGATATGGCCAGAGTTTTAGATTGCCCTCGAGCTTGTGGTACTTCCAATACTGATGGTGGTGGTAGTGGATATAACTTTCTAACAAAATCAACGAAATGTTCTACCTCATGAGGAGGACGTATTTGGGGCAAAGCATCTTCCGTATCTTTTAGATACATTAGATTTTTGAAGAAGTGGTGAGAAAGATCAATTATGGAAGTCGTCTCAGTGTCGACTCTATTTCTCTCCTGATCAAAAAGATCCACAAGAATGAAAAACGGCAGTTGATTTTCAAGCATCCGCATGTCAGGCCACACATCCTCTAACATCCTTGGTTTGTTGAATATCCGGTCAGTCGGAACTCGCAATTTCTTGTAACGAAACCTCATTAAGATCTCAATGATGAAGGCCGCATCCACTAGAATGATTCTTACAAATTCATCACTGGTAAACTTAATGGTCTCTGCATAGCAACTGCGCAGCACTGCTTCTTTGTCCCTTATTCTTCTTATGCAGTACTCCAACGTAACATCGGTACGTTCTAAAAAATCTTTTAGGTATCTATATTTGAGCTCTTCCATGGCTTTTAAGGCTTCCTTGCCATGGTGAAGGGGGCCTATAGAGACTACTTGAGGTGTGTAGGCCTTTTCACTTACACGTCGAAGTCGCTTAGGAACTCTGTAGATACAACACGAAGGAGACAGCGGAGGCAATCTATCCAACTCCTCACTCATCGAAGTTACTAGTGGATCATGATTGCTTAGTTCCATTTTGATGTGTTCGTGATTGTAATGGATGTCAATGATGATATGAGGTGCCTAGAACCACAATTAACAAATATTTCATTACTTACATTTCGATATTCTCCGACCAAAATAAGGTGAAAAAAAAAAAAAAATGAAAGATATGAGAATCGGGTAAGTTTGGCTTGCTAAGTTCATATAAAAAAACTTGGTCAACGCTGTGTTTTTATTTTGGATGTTTGTTTTATGAAGTTGCCTTTCGATAAAAGAAGATAAACTAACGCTGTCTCTTTCAACTGTTTGTATATTTTGATGTTTCTGTTACAAAATTCCTACTAGCTACTAGCTAGATTTTGATGTTTCTGTTACAAAATTTCGACCATCTTCATGGGGATGAACCTTTAAAATTTAAACTAGAAAATTTTAAGTCATAACCCAGAAACTGCATTTCTCTTCCAATGGTTATGGCTTAAAATTTTAGTCAAAGATTACTAAATAATGATTTTAGTCTAGTTATTTAACTTTTTAAACATAACATTTATGTAGATTATCCTAATTTATTTTTATGCACACCAAAAAATATTTATATTCCTATAAATAATTAAAAATTGCCACTTAGTATTACGATATAGTGTTATTCCTCTTCACTTGTAAGTAGAGGTTGTAGGTTCGAATCTCGTGGATGGCGAATTCGATACCAAATTAGGTTGTCCATTGTGTGGCTTAGCCGAATTCCCTTCTCCTGAGTGTAGAAATATCGATATACTAAAAAAAAATTAAAAATCACACAAATACGTAAGTATTTACAAAGTTTTTTTTTTTTTTTTTTGAACAAAAGAAATTATCTATACTAAGGGGGAAGCAGTGAGTTTAGCCTCACAATGGGCTAGCAATAATGTGGTTCAAACTTGCCTTTGGCAAGAATCAAACCTAACACCTCTCACTTACAACTAAAGAGAAATACCACTAGACCATAGTACTAAGTGGCAAGTATTTACAAAGTTTTAAGTAAAATTTGATTTAATTATTTTAAATTATTTAGATGCTAGATCTAATTTTGGGCCGTTAGTTTTTTTTTTTTTAATCATTAGATTTGATCTCATTTGAGCACAGCCGTTGGATTATAAGTAAAAACAAAAACAAAAAAACTGAATTATAACAGTTTGGTGGGTCCAGAATAATTTAAGCCAAACTTCAGTTTCTAGAGGGAATCTAGCTCAAAGATATATTTTCTCCCCAAGGCTTATTTTAGTCTAATAGTTAAAGATGGTTTGGGGAGGTTTATAGCGTAAATTTTTAAGTTTTATCCTACGAGTAGGAGATGTTCTTATATGTTAGAAATATATATTACACATTAAAACCCATATTTCCATTTAGTTGACATATTATAAAGTAGAATGAAGCAAGGAAACGCAAAGATTGTACCACAAATTCTTGTTCAATCATGAAAACTTGGTGTTGGACGAAAAGGACCGGGCTTCTCTGCCCTCCTACTTCCTATACACTCTCATCCTCTCTATTTTGTGCAGGTCACGGTTAAGCCACGTCAACATTTTATATTAATTTATTTATAGAGATAATAAGACAAAAAGCAATAATAATATAAAATGTTGACGTGGCTTAACCGTGACCGCACAAATAAGAGGGGATGACAGTGTATGGGAAGTGGGAGGGCAGAGAAGACAGGGCCGGACAAAAATTGGGGCGCCTGAGATATAATAAATAAAAAAATAAAACGACGTTCAATCAAAAACATGATTGAAGAATTGATAAAGTACACGTTAATGGATTATTTTTGCTCATGTCATACTCAAGGTTAATTACACTAACACACTTTGAGGTTTATCATTTTTTACAAAACTCCATCAGGTTTGAAATATTATACTAACACTCCTTGATGTTTTAATTCACTTTCACATTCATCCCATAAGGACAAAATTACTCTTCTAGTTAATTATCTAAAATTAAAAATTTATAGATAAATGAATCAAATTCAAAAAAATTAAATTTAAACATTAGAAAGGATTAGAGCTCTTGCATGATGATGTGGGTTCGAACCATGTCGATGACTAATCTAACATCTAATATAACAAAATCTATCCTTTAATCCAAAAAAAACATAAAAAATCCTCTTGCAAGATTTATCAATGTGGGAAATCGCCATCTACGGGTGTGGATGCAATAACACCAGACAGCATTACAGCAAGAGAAGCAATGGCTATACATGTTATTGCCTAGTGTGCAGAAAATAACTGGATGCGGATGCAATAACACCAGGCAGCAGGCACCAATTGAATCCTTTAGTGAAAATGACCTTGTGTATATATCCAGAGCATGTGAACAGTACGAGATCAAGAAAGGAAAATATTCGCTGCATAATACTGATATTCTTTCTTTGAAAGGAAGAGAAGGGGGGGAGGGGGGGGGGGGGTGGTGGGGTGGGGTGGCGCGCCGGGGGTGGGTGGGTGGTGGGGTTGGGGGTGGGGGGTTTGTTGGTGGGGTGGGTTCTGGCTAAGAAATTCGAGGGAGGAAGAGGTGGGGGATGGGTTCTGGCTAAGAAATTGGCAGGGAGGAAGAGGTTTGCTAATATAAGATATGCATCTAGGGTTTCTTTTTAAAAAATTTAATATAATTTTTTATGTTTTTCCTATTTATCTATAAAAGTTATTATTTTTTAAATAATTAAGTACAAGGGTAATTTCGTCCTTAAGGGATGGAAGTGAAAGTGAATTAAAACATCAAGGATGTTAGTGTAATGTTTCAAATATAAGATATTGTTGTGAAAAAATGATAAACCTCAATGGGTATTAGTATAATTAACCCTAGAGTCTTTAGTTGATGTAGAATGTGTAATATATATGCCATTCTGAGTTGTTTGAGTTAACATAATTTTGGTTTGATGTGTCAATTTTAGACCCATATTCATACGGTTTCGAAAAGAACAAGAAGCCCTACAAGACTCATTGCAATTGGTCCAGTGCGAGTTGTGCAGAATAATATAGTCGGAATAAACAAATTAGTGTTTTTAAAAATTCTAGGAAAGTTTAATATTTTTAAATCATTTTATTTTTGTTTATCTTTTGGGCTAGGATTCGTCCAGTGCGAATTGTGCGAATTTTGCATGTTTGTTGATATAAGGATATAGTTATAACAAGAGTAGGGGAATAAATTGATATCGAACTTATTATCCACGAAATTCAAAATCTAAAATCTTTAGATAGTAGTACTAAGTGACCTTTGAACAATTAATTAAGTAGTTAAATTGTCTGAAACCCTCTAGTGTTTCCCACGAATTAGGGTTTTATGTTTTTTATTTAAGCCTACGTACGAAGTTGTATTATGTAATCTTTTATTCATAGTATCATTTAAACTCCTGACTTTTTTACAATTAATTTTTGTGTGAATTTCGGATTACTAATGAATTTCAGTTTGTCTTCTCGAATTTGAGTTTTGCAGCTGGTTTAGATTATTCGTATATTCCGCTGCATCAAAACTATATGAACTGTATTAACTATATTGAACACGGAGCTATAATAATATTAGTGATGTCACATCGTGGCCCGGAGGGAATCACTTCCCGGGCTCGCTCCACCACCGTAGCACGATATTGTCCGTTTTGGGCCCCGACCACGCCCTCACGGTTTTGTTTCTGGAAACTCACACGAGAACTTCCCGATGGGTCACCCATCCTGGGAATGCTCTCGCGCGCTACTCGCTTAACTTCGGAGTTCCCATGGAACCCGAAGCCAGTGAGCTCCCAAAAGGCCTCGTGCTAGGTAGGGATGGGAATATACATATAAGGATCACTCCCCTGGACGATGTGGGATGTCACAATCCACCCCCCTTAGGAACCCAATGTCCTTGTTGGCACACACGCGACCAGGATTAGGCTCTGATACCAAATTGTCACATCCAGGCTCGGGAAGATACCAAATGTCACATCCCGGCCCGGGGGGAATCACTTCCCGGGCTCGCTCCACCACCGTAGCACGATATTGTCCGCTTTGGGCCCCGACCATGCCCTCACGGTTTTGTTTCTGGGAACTCACACAAGAACTTCCCGATGGGTCACCCATCCTGGGAATGCTCTCGCGCACTACTCGCTTAACTTCGGAGTTCCCATGGAACCCGAAGCCAGTGAGCTCCCAAAAGGCCTCATGCTAGGTAGGGATGGGAATATACATATAAGGATCACTCCCTTGGGCGATGTGGGATGTCACAAGTGAGCTTCTAACAACGCAAATTCTGAAAGAATGATAAACGTAAGCTTGCAATACTCGAAGAAATCATAAAATTAGAACATTAATTCCCTTCTATCGCTCAATTCCAAATGGATCCCACTTTGCCATGAAACATAATTCAGAAGCTAATAGCTTTAAGAACTAGACGTGTCCATATCTGAGATGATAAATTGAAAACCGAAAAACTAGAAGGAAAAAAAGTGAATTCGCACCTTGATCTGGTAGAGATGTGTAGAAAAGCTCAATGCAGACGCGTTTCTCCTCTGGTAGACATGAAACGGAAGTTTAATTTCTCTCAATATATATAACATGATGGAGCTATTTAATTTATATAAAAGGGAGTTGCCATAGGGAGTTAGGTCAATTGATCAGAGCTTCCTTGCTATTTCAAGCTCAATAACGATGATACATTACAGGGTTTTCCTTCAAGATTATCCTGATGATAAGCAGATGTTTCTACGAACCCAATATTTATTTTTCCCTACAACATCCTTTTTCAGATTTCAGATTATCTTATTCATTTTATTATTGTTAGAAATTTGTTTGTTAGTGTGTTGAACGGAAAGTTTAAAGTCACCATTTTCCTGTTAACTACGAAGCAAGTAATGTCTATACAAAGACAACATTCATGATTATTTATATATCATATCATACGTGAAGAGTACGCGTACATACTGTCCGACTTTGACCAATTTCACACAGACAACATTCATATATTAAAAAAAAAAATATATATATATATATATATATATATAGATATATTATATCACATATGAAGAGTACGCGTATACAAACAGTCCGACTTTGATCAATTTCACACCTAAACTGCAATCAAGTTACTACAGCGCTTGATTTGTTCCGGCTTTAACAAAACCCACTATTGAGGGATTTGGTTCAGTTTGCATACTCAAGCTGAAAGGTTTCTTCGTAACAATTGCACAGTTACAATCAGTCCTTAAGGGCCTATTTAGTATCATATTCAAAACTTTTTATAATTTTTAAAACATTTCTTTATAACATTTTTTAAAATAATTTTTTTTAAGATTCAAAAACTTGTTTGGTATGAGATTCAAAATTGTCTTTAAATTTTAATAATTAAATAGAAGATAAAAGTATCCTACAACAACTCCCTTTGGATTTAGAAATTACTATTCAATTCGTTGGACAAACCAAGTGATCCAAAGAGAAGGATGGAGGAAAGGTAGATGAGAGAGAAAAAGGAGAGATAGGAGAAGGAAATAGGAGAGACAGATTGGCCATGAAAGTAAAGCTGTCCATTCACCAAGTAGAGTTTGAAGAAGCAAAGCCAGAAGAAAGTGATGGCCATAAAAGAGAAAGGATGGACATGTGCGCGGCGGAGATGACTACCCCCTTCAAACCTTTAATAGTGAAAGGGTTAGTCCAACCCGTCAAAGATCAAAAAGTGGTGATGAATGATGGTGGATTTGTCTCCATGAAGCCCCCCAAATACCAGAGTTACTCTTTCGATTTGACCAAAGCCTCCAAGATCTATGAAGAGTTGGTTCGGGCAATAGTGATCGTGCCCGATAGCACTAAAAACTGCCTAAACCAGAAGAATTAAGAAGGAAGAAGTATTGCAAGCTGCATTATACTTTCAATCACTCCATAGCCAATTGTGTCCAATTAAGAGATTAGATACAAGACCTCATGGTCAAGGGAAAGTTGCTGTTGGAGAAACCCCAAGCTAATATGATGATTGACACAAATCTTTTCCTAGAGGCCCCAATCAACAAGAGCAGGGGAAGTGAAGGCAGGCAAAATGAGGCAAGTTGATTTTGTGGGGGGGGGGGGGGGGGGGGGTGTGGGTTCTGGCTAAGAAATTGGCAGGGAGGAAGAGGTTTGCTAATATAAGATATGCATCTAGGGTTTCTTTTTAAAAAATTTTAATATAATTTTTTATTTTTTTTCCTATTTATCTGTAAAAGTTATTATTTTTTAAATAATTAAGTACAAGGGTAATTTCGTCCTTAAGGATGGAAGTGAAAGTGAATTAAAACGTCAAGGAGTGTTAGTGTAATGTTCCAAATCTAAGATATTTTTGTGAAAAAATGATAAACCTCAATGGGTATTAGTATAATTAACCCTAGAGTCTTTAGTTGATGTAGAATGTGTAATATATATGCCATTCTGAGTTGTTTGAGTTAACATAATTTTGGTTTGATGTGTCAATTTTAGACCCATATTCATACGGTTTCGAAAAGAACAAGAAGCCCTACAAGACTCATTGCAATTGGTCCAGTGCGAATTGTGCAGAATAATATAGTCGGAATAAACAAATTAGTGTTTTTAAAAATTCTAGGAAAGTTTGATATTTTTAAATCATTTTATTTTTGTTTATCTTCTGGACTAGGATTGGTTTCGTGGTGATCAATTTTTTGCATGTTTGTTGATATAAGGATATAGTTATAATAAGAGTAGGGGAATAAATTGATATCGAACCTATTATCCACGAAATTCAAAATCTAAAACATTTAGATAGTAGTACTAAGTGACCTTTGAACAATTAATTATGTAGTTAAATTGTCCGGAACCCTCTAGTGTTTCCTACGAATTAGGGTTTTATGTTTTTTATTTAAGCCTACGTACGAATTCTTGTATTATGTAATCTTTTATTCATAGTATCATTTAAACTCCTGACTTTTTTACAATTAATTTTTGTGTGAATTTCGGATTACTAATGAATTTCAGTTTGTCTTCTCGAATTTGAGTTTTGCAGCTGGTTTAGATTATTCGTATATTCCGCTGCATCAAAACTATATGACCTGCATTAACTATATTGAACACGGAGCGATAATAATATTAGTGAGCTTCTAACAACGCAAATTCTTAAAGAATGATAAACGTAAGCTTGCAATACTGGAAGAAATCATAAAATTAGAACATTAATTCCCTTCTATCGCTCAATTCCAAATGGATCCCACTTTGCCTTGGAACATAATTCAGAAGCTAATAGCTTTAAGAACTAGACATGTCCATATCTGAGATTATAAATTGAAAACTGAAAAACTAGAAGAAAAAAAAGTGAATTCGCACCTTGATCTGGTAGAGATGTGTAGAAAAGCTCAATGCAGACGCGTTTCTCCTCTGGTAGACATGAAACGGAAGTTTATTTCTCTCAATATATATAACATGATGGAGCTATTTAATTTATATAAAAGGGAGTTGCCATAGGGAGTTAGGTCAATTGATCAAAGCTTCCTTGTTATTTCAAGCTCAATGGCGATGGTACGTTACATGGTTTTTCTTCAAGATTATCCTGACGATAAGCAGATTATGAACCCACTATTTATTTTTCCCTACAACTTCCTTTTTAAGATTTCAGATTATCTTATTCATTTATTATTGTTAGAAATTTGTTTGTTAGTGTGTTGAATGGAAAGTTTAAAGTCACCACTTTCCTCTTAACTACGAAGCAAGTAATGTCTATACAAAGGCAACATTCATAATTATTAATATATCATATCATATATGAAGAGTACGCGTACATACTGTCCGACTTTGACCAATTTCACACAGACAACATTCATATATTAAAATATATATATATATATATAGATATAGATATATTATATCACATATGAAGAGTACGCGTATACAAACAGTCCGACTTTGATCAATTTCACACCTAAACTGCAATCAAGTTACAACAGCGCTTGATTTGTTCCGGCTTTAACAAAACCCACTATTGGGGGATTTGGTTCAGTTTGCATACTCAAGCTGGAAGGTTTCTTCGTAACAATTGCACAGTTACAATCAGTCCTTAAGGGCCTATTTAGTATCATATTCAAAACTTTTTATAATTTTTAAAACATTTCTTTATAACATTTTTTAAAAATAATTTTTTTTAAGATTCAAAAATTTGTTTGGTATGAGATTTAAAATTGTCTTTAATTTTAATAATTAAATAGAAGATAAAAATATCCTACAACAACTCCCTTTGGATTTGGAAATTACTATTCAATTCATTGGACAAACCAAGCAATCCAAAGAGAAGGATGGAGGAAAGGTAGATGAGGGAGAAAAAGGAGAGATAGGAGAAGGAAATAGGAAAGACAGATTGGGTAGGGATGAGAGAGAAAGAAGGGAGAGACTAAGAGACAAGATAAGGAAAGGAGAGAGAGAGAGACAAGGTATAGATAAAGAGCTAGCACACATAAGATCACAAGTGAGTAGGGTTGGAAAAAAAATTCCAAAAATCCCGAACCACACCCAAAAAATTCCGATCTCAAACCGAAAAAATCCGAAACCGAAAATCCCAAAAATTTTGGTACTAATCTGTTTAGTACGAGAATTGGTTTCACATTGTCCTTTTTTCAGGAATCCCAAAATGATACACACACACACACACATAGACACATACATACATATAAATTTTTTAATCAACCCACCAAGCTATTCCTCTGACCAATAACATTTCTTCACTACCTTTTCTATTTTTTATTCTTTCTTTGTCTCATTGTCTGCCATCTTGGTTCTTATTTCTTGAAACCATCATGGTTTCTTCTTTCTTCATTCTTATTTCTTGAAACCATCGAAACCATCAAATGGTTTTGTTTGGGTTAATATTTGAACATTGGGCTACAAGTGTAAGAAAGCTCAGAGATGCCAATTAGAAGAAGACTTACTCGAAGCCCTAGAGACAAATTGGCGTCTCCCCATTAATGCATAGACCATGTGCCTATGATTTAAATGACATGTGAGGGGGACTAAGTTACACCAGCCAAAGAACACTTTTTAGTGGCAATACAAGTAAAAAACTAATGACTCACTACCCTCCAAGTGCTTTTCGGCAAGAACAAAATTGCAACAGTCGGGCTAATTGGCCTATAAAAGGAGAAAGAGGCCCCAGAGACAAGGACACTCAACCAATCAAACAAACAAACATACAAACTCTGCTCTCAAGCCAAATTTACATTTAAAAGTTGTAATCAGCCCAGATCTCAGTCCTTTTTAGGATAATTCCCTACAAAGCCATCTTTTGTCTAGTTTTAAGCTCTGCTACCTCCCTCAATGGCGTAGTATCGATTCCCTTGGGTAAATTTGTTTACCATCCATCCCTTTTTTAGTGCATAAACCCCTATAATCTCAAAGATAAGCGATTGCAAGAAGTTCAACCTTGCCAAACAAGGTGAAATCTTGCCCGAGGTTCTTTGTTTGCTTTCTGAATTAATAGATCTATTGCTTAATGTATTCTCCAGCATGTATTCAAGTGATGTCCATCAGTTTTCCTATTATAAAAGTTCCATTTACACGTGGATCTAGTTAGTTTAATGGATATGTTATCATTAAAATCAACCAAGAACCAAGTAAATGACTTAAGGGGATCTGGACTCCCTTCATTCGAACATACAAGACTATGAATTAAAAGTCCTTGTTTACAAGGTAAGAAAAAGAACTTAATGTGGACTTAACCCATCCACGACAATCTTTTGATAACAAGAAGTCCGAGTAACTTGGGGTGCAAGTAATCGACTTTAAACACACTTGTTCTACATCTGCTATATTGAGATTGCAGTGGCACGCCTAGCACTCAGTTAGTTTTGGTTGTGAACCTCACAGCCTACACCTAAGGCCCCATAGAGGCACCTTTCAAAACTAACTTTGTCCTCTTCTTGTAGCACATCAGCAAGCAAGAGTCTGACTACACATCCAAAGTGTCAATCCCTTGGGGAGCTGTGCTGAGGTGCCAATGACCCTTCCCCATGGAAATGTTTGCCCAAACATAGTTTTGGCATGCCCAGTAGGACATCATTAATCTTGTATGCCAACAAGAAGAAGGAAGGAGAAAACCTTCAGGTGGAACACAGAATACGAGCCACCCAAATCTACCAAAATCAAGCATGACAAAGCAGCCAGAAGATTTCCCCATCTCACAAAGATCAGCTATTATATGAAGCCTAACCTCATCCGAGAAGTCAGGAGGGAAGCTGACCAATAAAGACTTGCAAGCCATTATGATGCAAATACTGAAAACTATGAAAAGTCTCACTCTTGAAACTAGAGGAGTAGTAACCAGACTTTGTTCTTTAACAGGGAGTTTGCAAAGGAGATTAGATCTGGAGTACTCTACTCCAAGAAATGGTCATGCCAAGGAAGTGATGAGAGGGGTTAGTCCTGAGAAAAAGCCAGTTATCCCCCTATTTCCTTTGCTTAAAGAAAATAGGGATAAAGGAAAAAACAAGGAAAGATTTGGAGCCAGTCAGCCAGTGTTGGAGAAGATCCTAGAAGCAGAGTTGCCCGACCCCCTATTATTTTCACTAGGTAGTTGGGGACAAAATGAGAAAGAAAGAAAAAAGTATGGAATGCCCCAGTTGATCAGGGAATCTAATGGAAAATGAGAGCCTACCAAGGCAAACAAGTTTTCTCCTTATAGGCCCTCACCATTGGCCAGTAAAGGAAGGGATGGCAAGTGGAGAAAGCCCGAACCAAGGAATGAGACTTCCTCGGGCAATGATCGCAGCCCAAAGTTGGAAGCCCCACATACCTTATACAACAATACAGCTGACCAGTAGTTTAAAGATGAGCTAGTCGAGTTAAGGAGGATGGTGGCCCAGAATGCTCAACCCCAAGCCGCTTGCTATTTAAGATCACCTACCAGAAGCTATACCCGGAGTATATTGATGAGCAAAACCCTTTTCACTTAACTTCAAGATGCTTGCTTTTTGTGCTTTTAATGGAGAGGATAACAATATATCCTCTAAAGATCACATCTTCAAGTTCTTCAACCATTTTGTGGCATTTAAGGACAATCCTCATTATAAGTTAAGATTGTTTGGGAATTCATCTCAATGGTATTCTCTGTTACCTCCCAATTCTATTGCTAACTGGGGGCAAATAGAGATGGCTTTCCATGAGCAGTTCTATAAGATGAAGCTCGAGATGTCCATCAATGACTTAGTAGAAGTGAAGTAGCATGAGCATGAATCTATAGAGGACTTCATGATGAGGTTCAGAAGGACAAGAATAAGATGCTAATTCCCTATCAATCATCCGCAACTCATATCCATTGCTCAGAAGGCTTTAAGGCTGCCTTTAAGGAATAAGTTTTATGATGTACAATTTAATGAGTTGCAAGAATTAGTGATTGCTGCCACAAAGTATGAGAAGTTGTTGCTTGAAGAACAGGAAGTAAAACACTCATCTAAGGTGTCTTCATTCTACAAAAGTAAAGTTACCATTCACCAAGTAGAGTTTGAAGAAGCAAAGCCAGAAGAAAGTGATGGCCATAAAAGAGAAAGGATAGACATGTGCGCTGCGAGATGACTACCCCCTTCAAACCTTTAATAGTGAAAGGGTTAGTCCAACCCGCCAAAGATCAAAAAGTGGTGATGAATGATGGTGGATTTGTCTCCATGAAGCCCCCCAAATACCAGAGTTACTCTTTCGATTTGACCAAAGCCTCCAAGATCTATGAAGAGTTGGTTCAGGCAACAGTGATCGTGCCCGACAGCACTAAAAAAATTGCCTAAACCAGAAGAATTGAGAAGGAAGAAGTATTGCAAGCTGCATTATACTTTCAATCACTCCATAGCCAATTGTGTCCAATTAAGAGATTAGATACAAGACCTCATGGTCAAGGGAAATTTGCTATTAGAGAAACCCTAAGCTAATATGATGATTAACACAAATTTTTTCCTAGAGGCCCTAATCAACATGAGCAACTTGACTTGGGCTAAGAAAGTGAAAGGGAAAGTCATCTGGGAAGTAAAGGCAAAAATAAGGCAAGTTGATAGATCGACAAAAGGAACTATCAAGTTGCCCAAGAAGCCCAAAGCAGCCATAGTTAAAAGGTTAGTGTTGTGTAGTATGAATGTGAGTTGGAAGTCCTAGCAGCATGAGCTATTATTGATCAAGAATTGATCAAAATAAAGGAGAAAGATGAGCAAGAAGCTCTCGAAAGCATCATACTAGCAGTTGAGAAAGAGACGTCTAGAAATGTCTTCCAATGGTTGGGAGGAGATTCTCAACCAAAGGGCTTGTCAGAGGTATTTCGAAATTATGAAGCCTCTGAAGAAGGGGAAGATAGAGAAGCCAAAATACTAAGATGGGTGGACATGAGGCCACCCCAGCCAAGCTATGTCGGTGGAGATGCCAGAATAAAGGAAAGGATAACCAATCTAATCATGAAGAAAAATCATGCCCGACTCAGGCAGAAATGGTATGTGGTTGGAAAAGATGGGAAACTTGTCAAAAAAATGGGAGCTTCTATAATTAGGAGAGTCCAGAGGTAGCACAAAGCCCACATGAACTCACTAAAAGTCCCTGTTGCCTCATAAACCTCTTAGAATGTAAAGTTTGAGAAAATACGTGA